TGGGAACACTGGTCATGATACAAATGTGCCAGCAGAGACAGGCTGGGCTCAGAGTCCCGACCAGCGAGGTGGAATTCAGCAAATAACGTGGCTTCAAATCAATCGTGCCGGTAGTGTCAGGAGTTTCGCAGCAAGAGTTATTTCACAGATACATTCTCCAGAGAGGGCTAAATGAGCACAGAATGTATTGCGTAGGGATCTGATTACGCTAAAAAATCCCTGAAAGATTTATCGCAGAGCGTCCCGGGGCTGGAGCTGCAGATGGAGCTCATCCCGCTGCCGTGGGATGTACGCGGCAGAGCTCTGTCCCCTAGTGGGCACAGAGASACGCTCCTTCACAGCTTGTGCAGGGGGAATTTCCTTCCAATTAAACCGGGAAGGATTTATTGGAATATGAATGTATAATTCACATTCCTTACTCATGGCTCCCTCACCACGGCCACCAACAGACCCAAGTCAATKACAGACTTCATCTGAGTAGTTATGGGGAACTTAATGAGGAACTTTTATCCTCTTTTTAATATTTTTTTCTTGTCATGTGCATTTTTAAAAGCTGTTAGACATTTACTCTCCTTTTTCCCAGGACAGACCTCATTTCAGTTAAAGTCATTATGGGTTTGTCATTGAGTTCAAACAGAGCAGAGCAGTGTTAACTCACAGTTTCCCAAGTCACATGAAGAGGTCTGCTGATTGCTCAGAGCCTGGGATTGCTTGAAGGATTTGTCCCAAGATCTGAAAAGCCAAAGAGATACCATCAACCTTGAAGGTATAACACAGCTTCTCAGTCTGGTGCATTTGTCTTCTAAAGGGAAATTGGATTATTTCRGAAAACTCTACTAAACTTGTACACAAGGAGGCAGGAGAATGGCTGGCTGAGAAAGACAGTGCTCCAGAAGACACCATGGCAGCAGGAGCTCTGTTCCCAGGCAGGCACAGGGCACTCCCACTGGGGCAATGCTGCTCCTGCTTGATGGGCCTGCCAAGGACCTTTGCTTAAAAGTAAGAGTTCAGTGACATTCCATTGATTTGGATGCATCATTGACTGCTTTGTGACTGCAYACTTTACCAGATTTAATTTTCATTCCCTTCCTATAACTTTGGCCTTGTCTGTTTTGAGAGAATTTCATATTTAGCTCAATTTTATATCCTTTAGAAAGAAGCCATCTACACACCTTCTGTGATACTGTAGACCTGGAAGGAGTAGACCACAAGACAATCTCAGGTCTGTGCAACACCTTGGGGGATTTGTATACAGGGAACCTTCATGACACAACTTAGGAGTATCCCCATAACATGAAGTTGAGCTTCCAAGGGTCAGATCCATAGCCTGCATCTACGGGGCTTTGGATCTGTACTCAGCTCTGTTTTAGGCAGAAGGATATACCACACTCTTCAGTATTGGAACTTAAATCTGAGCTGTCTGGTTGGATCTGAGGCATCAAGGATACACCAATGCGGGAACACTTTAAAATTCCACACAGAAATGTAACACCAGTACATGATTCCTGCCCACAGGTGGCAYTCAGTCATGAGCCCTGGCTGCTTGCTAACTCGTCTCATGAATGAGATCTCCTTCAGTTATGAGAAAAATGTTTGCTTTGGTATTCGGTAATGACCTTTCCTTGAGGGACTGCAGATCCATGGAGTGGAATAAACTGAGCAAGACTCCTGGAAAGTACTGTCTATTCCAGAACAAAACTCCGATGGGCTGGGCCTGACCCTATTCATATCTTCTGTGCAACCACAAAATAGGTTTATTTTGACAGAGGGTGTCATGTCTGTTTCCATTCAAAAGCCAAGGGAGTATCTCTGTTKGGATTTGTGTCAGTAGTCTTATTTCCAGGTATTATTTACATCTTCTGAAATAAAACAGTCACAATTCCTTGGATAAATTTGGAGGACTCCAGCAGTTTATGACCAAAACCTCCGTGAGATTTCATACCATAAACAAGTCAGTACCAAAATGGGACATGTAAGGGCAATCCCAGAGAATGGGATTCARTGTCCCCATGTACTTCAGAATAACAACCAGCCTGGTGTGACACTGACCTCCCAAGTCATGAAGCTGTGATGCAGCTGGGCATGTGATTTCCCTGGGAATCAGCACACTTTACATTTTCTGTGAGAGATCCTTCAAGGAAATGACTGCACCGATGTGTTTAAAAAAAAGAAAAAAAAATAGTATTTTGATGTCCATATGATACATAGTGAGGCTTTGCTCAAAGAGCCTGTTAACTTGCTTTCAGGTCAGATGCTTCTCACATGATGCAGCTAGGAAAAAACATGTGAAAAGGCATGATTGAAAGCTGCATGGAAGTAACACTTGGATGGAGAGACTAAAACAACAATCTGCCTTCCTATTACCCAGTCTAGGGCACAGAAGAGGAACATTGAGCTAAGATAGATTTTTGCCTCTGGAAGCTACAAAGAAGGCAGGCAAGATACGCATTCTCAGAAAGACTGGGTTTCACATAGTCATGTTCTTGTGCTTCCACAAAGGTCGCAGTATACACAATTTTTTTCCTAAAACCCTTTGCTAGGTTGCACAAGACCTACACCCTTTTGCATTTGTCCATCAGGGTAAGTGCAAAAGGGAGGACCTAGTGAGAATATGGGAAGAAGCCAGGAATTTGTTTGTCTCTAAATTTTAGTCCAGAGTAGACACTTGTGTGCCCTTCATACATCAGAGGAGCACTTTTAAGAGATACAAATATTTGCAAGTTTAGCTTCTAAAGCTGCTGATAAAGGGCAACTGGGCTTGTAAAACCAGTTCCCATCCCTTCAGCCCCTAAAGAAGGAGCCTAAGAACAATTTYCCTATCTCCTTCCCAGATCTGTGGCAGGCTCAGCTGGACTGACAACCGYCAGTGCCCGAAAAGCAGCACAGCTCAGACTGTCAATGCTTTGGCTTTGAAGTTGTAAAATGTTTCAAAACAGATAAAAACTTTTACCATTATCCCAAAATGTGTCAGATATGTATGCTCCATGTAAAAGTGTGTAAGGGGTGTAAAGGGGTGTAAAATGATTGTCAGGTGTGGAAAACCTGAGTGCAACCAAAATGGTTCCTTCTCCTAATATTAAACKTAACAAAGCAACTCAGCATAAAATGTGTGAAGGATTCATCAGAAAAATTCCCATTAAAAAAAAATCTCCAGCTGGATAAAGTGTCCAGTGAAAAGGAAGTCAACAGCTCAGCACAAAGACAAAAGGTAGACATAGACTTTGAGGGAAACCTGTTAGAAAGAGCTCTGATAGTAAGAAGCTCTCAGCTAGTAAAGAACACAACCAAATACAGAGTTTATCAATATTTCCAGACTGACTTTACCTTAGCAAAGGCCRGCTGACCATGTTGGGATAGGCTGCTCTCTGGAGGTCTGAAGCATTTTACACGTTACTTAGTTCTGTGTGCAGYGTTCAAAATAAGCATTAGGGGTACAAGGAAGGTGTATCACTTATCACTGATATGCAGGAGATCTGGGGAAAACAATGTGATGGCTAACCTAAGATTTGGAATCTGCAAAAGATTCCGTTTTGTCCAGTGATATATAGTGTGTACAAGATCATCATGGGTGGCACGGAACAAGGAGTGTGAATCTCTTGTGTAAATACTTTGTGTCTGTGTCTTAGGTTCTTCCTTAAATGACAACAGCAGCAGAGGGAAATTGCCATGACACAAGTTCATGTCTCTGCCCCCACAGATGATGATGAGCAAGCACTACAGAGCTGCCAAAATCTTAATTTCACTTGWCTGCTGCTTGATAAAGCAATGGGAWCAGAGGCAGGAGTGGTTTGTSTGCTGACTGAAGAGCAATTTCATCTATCTACAGGATTATCTTKCTTACTATCATGCTATATTTAAGTTTTAAACAAAACCACTTTCATTCTGAAAACTCCCACACCCATTGTAAATAGGGTGAAATTGTAATTTTCCTTATTCACTCTTCTGAGCTGTAAACCAAGCAGAGGTCAGACACAATTTTTTGGCCCTTTCCTTTAATTTCTCTATTTATTCCTCCACACTTCTCTCTTATTATCCCTTTTATTTCCATCAGGATCTGCACACTTGCCTATCTTTTCATTTACTGAAGGAATGCATTGATAARCATTTMAKYCTTCYAATACCTGGAAGGAGTGTACAASAAAGACTGAAAMGGACATTTTACAAGAGCSTTYAGTGACAGRAYAAGRGGGAATKGATTCAGATTGTAAGAGAGTAGGTTTAGATTAGRTATTMGTTATCAGGAGTACGTTCTTTACTGTGAGGGTGATGAGGCACGGCCACAGGCTGCCCAGAGAAGCTGTGGGTGCCYCATCCTTGGAARTGYGCAAGGAAATGCTGGACGCGGCTTTGAGCAATCTCGTTTAGCGGAAGGTGTCCCTGTCCATGYAGGGGGCTCTTCCAACTCCAGCCATTCCACAACAACTCGGTGTGACCCGAGGCCCGAGTACCATCCGACACCCRCCCCACTATGGCGGCGCCACCGCCTCACAGGCCGCCACCGGGCAGCGGGAGGGCGGGGACAGCCGCCTTCCTATTGGACGACTCGCTTCCMGTTCTTCTCTTCTATTGGAGGAGAGCGGCTCGTGGGCGGGGAAACTCAATGAGCGACAGCTGCGCCGGCGAATGGAAGGGCGCGGCCGTGGCTCGCGGCCGGCGCTGGGGCGGGAGCCAATGGGAGTGGCGGGGGGCGCGTGCCGTGCCGGGAGCAGGTAAAGTGCGGGGAGGGCCGGGGCGCGGGAGCGGGGTGAGGGACGGGGACACGGGCTTGGGATCTGCTCCCGGCGGGATGCTGCGGGTATGGATGGGGCGGGACGGGACGGGACGGGACAGGACGGGCCTGTCCTGGCCAGGCGCCACCGTGCACGGGGGGTCTCGGGGTCGCCGCGCTCCCGAAGCCGCCTATATCTATGTGTGTATACGTATATGTCTTATTCTTATAGAGGCGCACATTCTRAGTATRAAAATACRTCTTTCCACGTGTGTTTGCKTATGTACGTGTGTAAACTGTATGTRTAGCTGTTTCTCCTGGGYGGTGGCGGCGTTCCTGCCTGGCATCCCGGGTTTCATTTGGAAGCGGCTCCGGCAGAGGCTGCCCGAATTGGAAGCGTTCTGAAGGGCACTGGGGAGCAGGAGCATCTGCACGGGAGCAAGGTCTCTTCTGGCCTCCTCCAAAATCTCTGTCTGCCGGGGGGGCTTGTCCTTTTTTCCTCCCTTTTCTTTAATGTAGGTGTTCGTTGTCTGTGCTCCGGCCGGGCTTGCACTTGGATGAGCAGGGAAGCAGTCCCAGCCCTGGTGTGTGCCCGAGTCCCACTGAGGATCCCAGGGGAAAGCAGCCACTCGAGTAGGACATAGGAACTCAGCTCCAGGGCAGGTGTCCTTGGATGTCCCCAAGTGTCACCTCCAGCCCAACCCCTGCTGGCTGCGAGGTCCTCAGCAGTGTTGGGATAAACTCGAGTTGCTGCTCCCACTTGTGAAGTGTGAGCCAGGCTTTGAGGTTTTACTGGTGTGAGTAGTTCTGCGGGGCTGTGATGCCTGTACGCTGTGACAAGGAGTTGGCTGATGGAGTATTTGGGCTCAGTGCTTGCAGAATAACCCTTCTGACTCTTTTGGGGAGGGTCTGATTTCAGCTCTGCCAGTAAAATTTGCCTTTGGGGCTACGTGCTGTACCTTTCTCGAAAGAAAGCAGTGCTAGTTCAGGCAGAATGCAGAAAGAAAGCTACAGTCTGCAACTTCCATGGCATCTCATGTTTTGTTATTTTTTGTGTTCTGAGGCTGAAAGTGAGAGGTGTTTGCACACTGAGATGGTGTGTTCCAAGTCCCCTCTCATTTTAGCAGCATACCCACTTGGACTTTATTTATTGGCAAGAACCTGGAAACCTTTCCTCCTAATTTTGACCACTTAGGATTTCTTAGAAGTTTATTTCTTTCTCTTCATATTTACTAACAGCAGTGATTGCTACAGTCAAAACTTAGGAGGACATCAGGCTGTCAGTATCATCCCAAAGCTTTCTCTTGCTATCAAAGAGAACAATATGTATAAGAAGGGATTTTAACTGTTGATTGGATAATTAAGTATTCTGCCAGGCCATAGCAACTGTTCTGTGCTGTATACTGTAGCGGTATTATTTATGATGATGAAAWGCAAAGCAAAGGATTTAGATTGTTTACAACATGAAAATAAAAGGCAAACTGGGGCTGGATCTTAATGTTAGTGAGCTGTCCCARTTTAATCAAAATCTGTAAAGCTGGTTTATYGCAGTGGAGGAAAGAGGTCTCTTGCATGAAGGACATCTGGAAARAGAATCTGTGACTCCTGCTTCCCTTCAGGATTCACAAGAGTAACTGTATTCCCACCTCAGCTCTTGTTAGAAGCACTTACTACTGACCTAGTTTCTGTCCCCTTTCATTTTTGCCATGCAGTTTTGAGAGTTGGGTCATTTTGCTCTTAAGCATTGTGTGATTTGTTGAATGGGTCCCGGTGGTGGCGAGGCAGAGAGGAGAACCTTGCCTGGTATARCTTAGTGCATCCGTTTGATGATGGACTGGCACATGGTTTATTGTATTTGGTAGCCCATGYCCTAAAGCTTTTTGTCAACACAGATACAGTTTATATTTGTCTCAGTCTTCCATGTTTTTAATTCCTGAGCTGTCCTTCCCCGTTTTTCAACTCAGCCTATGCACAGAGATATTTGCTGTCATGTGCATAAGCAGGTAAGAAGGCTCTTGTGTTTTCCATTATGGTGTATACAGCATTCTTTTGGCAGGCAGAAATCATSTCCAAAAGGCCCTTTTCCTTAGCTGAAGTAGTGAAATGAGACCAAAGAACAGCGTGGCTTTATAGCACCCCTTTCCTAGTTGCCTGGTACTCTCCTTTTTTTTTTTTGTTAAGCAAGTCCCAGGCTTTTTCTTCTTTCCCCCTGCTCAGCCCAGAGGGTGCTGTCTTGCTGGGTACATGTGTGTGAGTGACCAGGCTGAAGGACAGACTGCACTTCACAGCTCTCTCTGGCAGCCAGCACAGCCTTGATGCCAGTTCAAGTGCACCTCTGAAGGTGTAGTATTGAGTGGCATTAGACAAAATCCCTGCTGGGTCCATRGTGGGCCAGAGTGGGAGAGCCAGCCTTCCTGCCTCTGTAAACTGTATGTCCAAGGTCCCTGCTYAGGGAAGAGCCACAAAGCCACACTGCTGAGGATGTTGCAGACCTGAGGTGAGGGTGGGCTGYGTGTCTGGGGGTGAGCAGAGGGTTTGTCACCATAAGGCTCAACCCTGCTGGAAGGCGGATGCACAGTGCTTCTTTCTTGTGGTGCGAGCACTGCTACTGGGGCTGCTCCCACAGCCACTGTCAGGGACCTGGCTCTGTGACAGCAAAGGAAAACGGGTGCCTCACTGTCTTTTCTAAASCACTACAGAGCTGATGAGCACTAGGTGTAGGAGATGGAGGCTGGTGAGACAACCTTTTTGGCAGGACAGTTTAGATCAGTCTAAGGCAGCTGTRACTGGGGTGTTTGCCACAGGAGCATCTGTAAAATCTTGGATTCACTGTGGTGTGTTTGTGACAGCCCTCACTGAAACCATGGCTGTGTAAACAAGGGACAGTTCAGGTCTGAATCTGCCTGCTGAGCAGACATATTGCACTGTCCATGTCCTTGTTGGGGGAGCAGAAGAGAAAATGTCCTTAAAACTGGCTGTATTTCAACATGAGTTTATTTTTTCTCATGTAATATGAAGGTTAGTAATTGGCACTGTGGTTTTGCAATTGGTTTAACTCCTCCAGTGGGCAAAACTAGGGTGTTGAAAGTAGGGTAATTGGCTGCCCTTTTAAATCCCCTGCAGAATTGCTCTCTTTACGTAGCAAAAAAGATTCCTTAAATAATGTGAGAAAAAGTTATTCAGTACTTTCATTGGGTTGTTAAAACCTAAATATTGATCCCAAACTTTCAGAGAGTAAATCTTTCTTCTATTTCTTCCCTGGATGTGGGCAGAAGCTTTTGAGAGTTATTTAAATTCCACAGGTCACAGATCCCGTGGCATGCATAACTTGGGCTGTTCCTCATCCAGAAGTATGTCATGATTCCATGACTATATATCTGACTTCTTGAAAGACCTAAATCCWGTAACTGGACCAGAGTCTAGTACCCCAGCTGTAAATTGTGAGCCCTCATGTGCTCTSTCAAAAGAGTGTGTTAAGCATCCAGAGAGGAGATTTTGGTCTCTGTGAGAAATAAACACWCGAGTGTTAAGCAGCTCACTCGGTAAGATCACGGGATTACTGTGAAGCTGGCAGGCCTGGTGTGAGGGCTAGCCTTGCTTTTGTTTCCCATAACTGTACCACTTTTATCACCAAAAGAGAAACAAAATTATATGAAAAAGCAGGAGAAGGCAGGGGAGGAGTAGATGTCTGAAAAAAATGTTTTACTTGGGTAGATTGAGTTGATGTTCTAAAATTTCTTGAAGGTGCAGATGTGTTGAGGAGGCTGTCAAAGAAGGGAGGGTCTCCTCCTCCTCCTCTCTCCTTCCTCCAAAGTGAATTTCAGTTTCTTTAGTGAGGAACAAGAATACATTATTGGTCTTGAAAGTAACTAGTCTGATGTCTCAAGACAGCAGGGTGTTATGGCTGGGCTGTGAATGTATGAATCAGATTTTAGTGACTTTGTCCAAGTCACGTGGCTTCTTCAGCTTCCTCTTTTATTTTCAGAGACACAGGAGCTTGGGTAACGTTCTGTACAGGAGAGGTGTTCCGGTAGATAAAACTGCTTATATAAATGCATTAGAGGTATGGCTTTGCTTATGGACAAGTGGCTGAGTATCACAGAGCGATTAATTACTCCCAATTGTTTTTTTAAGCAGCCTTAATTCTAAAAAGAATTTTCCTATCAGTTGCGTTTAAAACTTCCTGAAATCCCGATTTTAAGGGTGTTGTGTACTATTCAGGGTAGTGTACTGTACCTTCTCCCTCTTGTGTCYAGAAAGAGCTGTTCCTTTCCTTTCTGCACTGTGTGCTTGTCTGCACAGCAGTGGTGAAAAGCAGCCAAACATTTCAGCCCCCGACATTTATTCTCCATGTTTTTGCCCATCCAAGTAGTTTTGCTTTTAATCACAAGACTACATAAGGAAAAASCCACAAGTGGCTCTCCTAAGGAAACAGGTCTTTCCCTTGGCTACACAAACCTCTCCTTGTCCATGGGCAAAGAGAAGAACTAGTGAAATTCATCAGGTTAATAAACAGTCATAAGACAGCGTGTAGCTCCTGATTAGTGGCTTATGTAAAGCTGAGGYTTCAGGTTACTTAGAAACTTCTGCTCCTTGCTGATGCTCGCGGGAGTGTTGTGTAAGAGCTGAGCTCTCTGAGCTTCCTGACAGGCAGCCAGTGTGTGAGGTGAAGCTGGGTMTGGCCCCTGCCAAACCAACACTGAGCGCTGAGAAACCTCCTTTGTGGAAGGTAGGGTGTACTGATGGGAGRGAGGAAATAAAGGCAGCAGCTGTGAAAGCTGTGGCAAAGAAAAAGTAAGTTTCTTCAGTGCTGCAGTTTGCTGATCTCGCCAGCCGAAGTCCCAGCAACTTTAACTGAACGGATTGTCATGCCTAGGTGAGGGCAGGCTAAATCTGCTGCTGGGAGGAGATGGAGCTACATGGCATGCTGGAGCCTCCTTGCTGATATCTGCTGAATCCTCTTGGGATTTTCAGTTATTTGCAGTGTGGTGTTCACTGTTTTCTTCYCTTCTGCTCTGCTTGCCCCCCAGCCTTGAGTAGTGCTTGGTTKTGCCCTCTGGAGTGCTCCCTCAGAGAGCGGCGATGATCACATTCATGAACAATTCGGACAGTGAGGAGGAGCCCTGCAATGAGAGAACATCCCTGATGTCTGCAGAGAGCCCTCCAGTCCCTTCCTACCAGGATGGCCTGCAAGCCTCAGAAGCAGCGGAAGCACAGGCACATCGGGTAGGTGTGTGTCCCTCGCATGGGTGTGGTGACAGAAGTAGTCCTGCTACCCCTCAATCCTCCTACCAGACTGCCTTCTAGGATCGGCTTTGTTCAGTGTTRTTTTCCTGGTGTCACTCTCAGCCAGCAGCAGCACTGCCTGTTGCCATTTCCTCCATTCTTTTTCCCCATTTTTATCTCCATATATACTCCTCCCTTTTCCTTCCTTTTGGTAAAGATAAAGGCTTTTAATCAGGACCTGATGCACATATGACTGTTGCAGGATTTCCKTTTTAGCCTTCTTGTTTTGCCAGACACCCTTTGTCTGCTCTGGTCAGGTGCAGCTAATGTTAGAACAGAATCCAGTCCAGCTGCCAGTGAAACAGCAGGATAAAGCAAGCACAGCATGGCTGGGAGGGGAGGAGCATGTCAAGCTTATGCCACYTCAGATGCCAKTTCTTCTGTCTACTTCTGRGCATCTTGCCCTTCATGTTCATTTGTYCATCTATATATTTGCATTTGAAKAGGTTCTTAGATACTCATGGTATTGGTTTAAAAACTCCATTGCMACTTGTTTGCAATGAATTTTCTAATTGCATTGTTCAGTTGGTACCTTTCTATTAGGACTCAGCTGCTGTGCTGTGGTGGCCTCCAGCAACCTCATGAGATGTGATGGAATCAAGCTTTGAACACAAAGAAAAGCAGCATCTTACATATTTGCTAATATTCCTTTTCAGAAGAGACGAGCAGGCAGCAGCTGTGGCCCGAACAATRTCGCTGCTGGAGAAAGGTCTGGCTCGAGTGTTCCTGTGAGAGAAATTGCTCTGGAAAATGAAGAAGAGGAACTGACTCTGAAATATGGAGCAAAGCATGTAATCATGCTCTTTGTGCCTGTCACCCTTTGTATGATTGTTGTCGTCGCCACCATAAAGTCAGTGCGCTTCTATACGGAGAAAAACGGGCAGCTGTAAGTGGGGTCTGCGAACAGCCTGAGTATGTGGGACCCCCTGCTCCACACACACGCTCTGTGCATGCACAGTGCTTTCTTGGCAGGCTGGGAGAACCTTTACACAGGTCAAGGTGGCTGTAGAAACATACAGAGAGCTTCCTAAAGTATGCTACATTCACCTGTGTAAGTTTTTTCCATACCTGCGTTACACTGATTCGTTAGCGCTGTCATTTAGGGTGCCCTGTGAGCGGCATAATAATGAAAGTGCTTCATTCTGCAGCATAAAAGGCCCAGGCTGAACTCCTAGGCTGTTCACTCACTAGCTGGCAGCATTCAGGGAATAGCATGTTCATTTGGATGAGTGTCTCATTTCCTGGTGATATTTCTGGTTCCTAAAGACTCATGGTGTGGATACATAATTCCATCCAGCTCCTGCTGACAGTGCCTGTCTCCTGGGGGCTCTCACTGTGCTTCACACGTCAGGGTGAAAAAGTGGGACTGCGGTCTCTTGAACTGAATCAAAGGAAACAAAATGGGTGGAGGGGTGCAGGGTGCTGAGAAGGGATAAAAGAATCCAAGACTTTCCTACCAAGTGTGGAAAGAAAGGGTGTTCCCCATTTCAGAACAGCATCTGGGAAGTATCCTTATAATTATCATGGAGAGGTTGCARAGCGTGCAATAAAAATTCATAGCCTGGAGAGCACTTACTAAAATATAGTCATTTATACTTTAGGTCATCATGCTTAGAGCTCTGCCAGCCACAGCTGCTCTGTAGGAATGTGCTTTTGATAGAGACCACTAATCTTTAGTTGATAATTAACTTGAGCCCGGCCCCTTCAGGGACTACATCTCATGTTTACTGTCCTTGGCAGTCCTACCTCCCTTTCTTTCCCACACACAGAGAGGTCTGGTGTTATCTGGGACAGATGGTTAGACAAGAATATATATACTTTATATGGCTATTGCTTTATTCTGCAGGATCTACACCCCTTTCAGTGAGGACACCCCATCTGTGGGCCAGCGTCTCTTGAACTCGGTGCTGAACACCATCATAATGATCAGTGTCATCATTGTAATGACCGTGTTCCTAGTGCTGCTCTATAAATATCGCTGCTACAAGGTAAAGCATTCATGCCAGAGCCTTTTCCATCTCTGTGCTGTGAGCCTGGGATCAAATGGGCCTTGCATGGCAGCGAGAAACACAGGCACTGCACTGGCTCGTCCTCCTCTTGGGCACAGCAGGAATCATTGATGCAGAAGCCTTTGTCAGTGATGGTGGAGCTGTGGCTCTGAACAGACTTTGCTATTATTTTGTCACTAATGGCAGGCCCTCCAAAACAAGGTCTGMTGCTTTGTGTTAGTCAGGTCTGAATTTTTCCATCTGATCCGAAAGTTTTGCCATTTGTACTTATGGACTAGGTTGTACCATTTACTGTGAATGTTTTAAGACATTTCAGACAAGCTTTGTGGGAACTGTTGCTATTCCTGCCTGTGGAAACTCTGATGGAAGAGCACTAGGCTTGGAGGGAAAGGCAGATGCAGGTTCTGTGGTGCCCAGGGAGTCCTTATATGTGGTACCAGCCCAGCATKTGAGCCCTGGTCATTCCTGCTCTTTAAACTTGTCCTAAAGATGSATTTATTTTACAGCCTTGGGCAAAACCACTCTTCCTTCCTCACAAACAGGAACAACGTGCTCACCTGTATGAACCAGTATAGATACCCATATATAAAATGCTTCGGACAGAGGCTGAAAAAAATGCAAACCAACTMAAACATTGAGAGACAGAACACAAAATGAAAGTGGGAGAATTGGGAGGAACTTCCTCCCTCGTCACTGACCATGGGAAGGCAGGGTCTTTGGGTGCTGGAGAAGGAGTGCATATTGGGCTGCAGTTCTGTGCCCTGTGCAGGGATGACAGCCCCTACAATCACTGTCTCTTCTTGTCCTTGGCAGTTCATCCATGGCTGGCTGATCCTGTCCTCCTTGATGCTGCTCTTCCTCTTTACCTACATATACCTCGGGTAAGTGGGAATGGTGCAGGTAACCTGGCAGTTCAGGCTCCTTCACTTCTTTGCAGAAAATCCCATTTGAAAACTGAAAGGACTGTCTCCCCTTTTCCAAATG